GGACAAATTTGGAGGCGCCTTATCCGAAGTCCTCTGCTATAGTAGTTAACATAGGTCCCAGCATAAGACCGTGGACTCGATACATTCTCAGACGTTTCGCTGGCAGCATAGTCGGCATCATCCTTCTGAGAATGTACCAAGTCCACGATCTGATGCTGGGAGTTATGATAACTACCATAGCAGAGGACTTCGGACAAGGTGCGTTCAACGAATTCGCGCTGACAACAAGATCAAGTGGCTCTAGTTTATCCTTCTAGAGCCAAACTTTCTGAAGACATGTCTATAGGACTTAAAAAGGATATGCATGAGTAGCAAATAAATAACTTAATGAAGAGCTTTCGGCCTATACAAAGAAAATAAGCATGATTTTTCCTACTCGTATACAACTTAGCTTAGCTAAAATTAACATTCTCAGCTCGCCTATGCTTGGCTTTACTTTCATTAAAATAGAAATGAAGTAAAACTGTTCAAGAGTTAGCACCATCCAGCATAAGTAAGCTGTAGGGTACTCAACATAAACTCAAACTAAGAAGTAACTAAGAGGTTTCCTTTAAAAAAAAGAAACCCCTGCAGGTTAGCAAATGGGACACAACTGCCGTTAAGTTTTGGCACGCCAAAGCAGTGGCCTTTCTGCCATAGCCTCAAGTAGGTAATTAAGAACCACGAAGGTGGTTTAAGATAAGACGATCATTCACTTCAACGCGTTCCTACTTTGCTAATTAAAAAGGAAGTTGGTGTTTTGGATTTAAGTGAGGTGCAACTTTCGGTCAATTTGCACTATTAAAAGTATTGCACCAAGCTTGTATTATAAAAATTGCATTACACTGCACAGTGGAAGTCAATGACAAATGAAAACTTGTCTGAACTCAGACATTTATAAAATGTTAGCGTGATTACAAGCAAGAGGAGCAAAGGCCTAATTAAGTCCCCTTTTTCCAGGCGGCCCAACACGATCTCTAGCCTAGTCTATCAATTGAGTATAACTTATCACAGATATTCCAGACATTTAATGTATTGCGTAATCAGTTGATTTCGATGGCCGGCTTAATGTTTCGCTTAGCAGCAGAAATGCAATATTTTTTAAAAAAATGAGTAGATTGTTGAGACTACCAGTAACTCAGATATATGAGTTGTGTTCATCCTATTTCGCTTAAGATAATGGGGGACTGGTGGTTGATTTTTTCTCAAATGATATGAGTAGAGCTGATGTTTTCTATTGAATTTCCCATAGCCTTGCTTTACAATAAGGTGTTCTCATCTAGGGTGGACAGCAGTTTCGACCTCGCATAGGTCTTATCAACACCCATAGCGAGATTAGAAGCATGGCGTCGTGGCATGTAAGCTCGACACATTAACCACTACGCCATACTGCCACGAGTACAATTAGGTCACGGGGCAGATGCGAATTTAAAGAAATTTCAGGCATTTTCCATATCACATTTTATGCTGGGATTGTCGATAAAGCAAACTTATATTTGCTATAGCAATTGAAAAAATTACTTTCTTCGTAACTGAGTAAATTTTCGAGACTACCAGTAAATCATATATATAAGTTGTGTTCACAACTCGACAATCCCAAAACAGAATGTAATATAGAAAATGCCTGACATTTATTGTGTCGAGCTTACATGCTTATTAGCGTACAATAATAAAACAAACGAATAATTTGAGGCGATTGTAACTCATGTATAATTTCTGCTGTGTGCTCCGCTACCTATTATCTTTGAATGCACAATCTTACACAGACTAAGCCACCCCTAGTCGAATTTTGCCGCAAGGCTTTCTAAAAGAAAATAGAGTGCATTCATACATTATTATATGCAAGTCTGGCATGCAAAACGGGTCAACGTTAACTCTAAAAAGTGGGATCACTAAAGAAACTTTCGTGATTAACTTGAAAGCCATTTTTACTTCGCACTTCCTTACTAATTAGCTTAGATTCTTCAAATAGAAAGGAAGAAAGTAAGTAAAGTCATGAAAATCGAATATTTAGTAAAGCATTTATTTCAATGCCAAAGCAGCTTTCATATCATTACTGAAATGATGAGCATATAGATTTAAAAATCTGTTAAAGAGGAGACAAAGAGAACCAACGGATTAAAGCTGATTGCATAAAACCCATGAAGGTATTTAAAAGCTAAAATTGATAAATAAAATGTGTTAGATTATTTTTAATAAGAAATTATAAGAAGTGACGCATCAAAATTGAGAGCTGATGAAGCCCTATGATATGTCAATATGCAAAATAGATAAGGCATAGCAACCAACCTTCTTATAGAAACAATCAATAAATATATTTATACATATTATAGAATGTACCTGACATTATATATATATCAAGGGATATAATTTATACGTATAATTATATACAGATTTTCTTAATACAGCTAAAAAATAATATATGGGAGATATCAGTGAGCCATCTTAACTCGCCTTGTCTGGAAACTGGCTCATATCGTCTGAAAGAGGTTGTTGTTGCTGTTGACCACCTTCTGCAATGTCACTGGCCAACGTCGACTCGGTAGGGGCGATCAAATAGCCTTGAGAATAGCGCTTTGGCTTCGGCGGCGGTTGGGCTGCTGAGGTGTCAAATGACTTTCTATCAACTCCTCCATGAAACGAGGCCGCCTGATTGACTCCGGTGACTGAAGATGCCGCGCTCGGGATGCTAGTTGTCGTCGGCTTGGCTGTAGACGAAGTGGACGTTATGGTGGCTGCTGCGCTGGCGGGTCTAGTGCCTCCAGAGCCAGTGCTCGATGCGGGGCTGACTAACACAGCAGAGGGGACAGAGGCAGCCGGGCCGGGTGGCTGCCTTATGCCTGAGACCAATGGTGGGGTCGAGGGTAGTGAGGAGAAGTGGTGAGACAAATGTCAAACGGGTTCATATACAATCGCCTAATTTATAACTATGAATGAGGAGGGCCGAAGTGATTTAATGCAATATTTATGGATGAATGGCTATACTAAAAATGCACTCATCTTCTTTTGTTATCGTCATAGAATTGTGAAAAGTATATTCAATGTGAGTCAGGAAAAATGACCCAAGTCCATGAATATAAAGAATTCAACAGATTCTGAGAATATAACTCGCATTAATTTGCTTAATGAGGTAAAGAACGTATAGATGAATTCCTCACAATAAAATAAATAGACCATTGCATTTCACAAAGTCCTACCCCGAAGGGATTCCAAATAACAATCATAGTGAATTATTGTCTTCAACAAGGAGCATTTGTAGTGTTGGTTTGAACTCGCTTCCGCAAATTGGTCAGAGCGACAGGGAGACCTTGTGGAACGTACCTAGTCCTGTGTCCTCTGCAACCTTGACTTAGTACATTCCCAGAAGTTTCGCTGACATCGTCAGTGAGAGGCGCCATCCTTAGCGAATAGTTACAACCTTTGTGCCACAACGGTTGAACATAAAATAATTATGCATACAATGGACTCAGGACAAGGTGCGTTTTTATCAGTCTTCCTACCATTATGACCAA